TAACACTGTTTTGCTATCCTAATCAATTACGTCCTATCACACATGATAAGGATTTTCATGTGACTGAAAATAATTGAATGGGGATAGAAAAATAGTGCTATATCCCCGTGACATGCCAGTTCTTCTCCGACTCGAGACCTCCTCGATGCCCATTGAACCACTTGAGTGGTTCATATTCTAAAAGTCTAAAAAGCTAGGTCAAAAGTCTTTAATATGTCAAAAATTTGGTTTCAAAGTTTCTCAACAATGGGATTATTGGACCACTTGAACGCTACTCAATAACATTCGACATTTAACATTCATGAATGTTGTTGATTATTGTTGGATTTAGCATGTGATGTTATAAATTTAGAGGACTGACGACTTATAATTTATCAGTACTCGGAATGCGACACACATATTATAATGAAATTGGAGGGAAACTTTAAAAACAAGCCATTTATTGCAACAACTAAAGATTTCTATCTCTTTATCCCAAAAACAAAAACACTTCTATCCCTTTTTCTAAGAACTCCTTAGCAACATTCGGACAATCTAAACAAATATGGCTAAAAGTCTTTAGAGCATTCACAATGGACTCCTTAAATCACCTCCTTGGCTAAAATTTAGGGAGAAATTGAAAAAACCCACCTCCAACCATGCTCTCTATCTAGCTCCTAAAATAGGGAGACCTCTAGAAACTCCTAAATCTAAAGAGAGAGAAAGTACTCCTAGTGACTCCTTATAATTAAATGCTTCTATATTTAATATTATTTTAAGCATTTATTTAATGCCAACTATTTTTTATTATTGCTTTTGTGTCTACACTTTATTCAAAAAATGAATTAAAAGCATTTATGACTCCTTAAATTAGGGATTATGGTTGGAGTTGAAATTTTATAGAGATCTCCTAAAATAGCTTTCTAGTGTTTTTAGCAAAATTTTAACTAAAAAATAGAGAGCATGATTATGTGCCTGTTTGGCATTGCTTATTTTGGGTGATAAGTGATTTTTAAAAAAATTTAGGAAGCCCAACCCGTTACAAGAACACAATAGCAGAAATATTTTAGAAAAACACAACCACCATAAATCCCCATTAGTTAACTGCGATTGGAAACAATACGACATCTTCAAAAGCTTGATTGCATCTTAATTTAAGAAGTGAACAAAACTAGGTTATATATGTTAAACAAACAAGGTTGGTTCAGTGATGGTGGCCTCTGCCTCTTTCAGCTGCGCACGTTCCTTTTCAGGTTGAACTGGAACTGATAAGCAAGTACCATTTTCCATGCTCTTCTGCTCTTTGCTTTTTCCCCACAAAACACTGTAAAGGCTCGCAGCCAACAGGATTCCACCTAAAACACTGCAAAAAGGAGAGCCACATGAGATGATTAGGACATTCGATCTTCCACCCATCATCATCCGAATGCAAACAAAACGTCTACATTGAATAGTTATTCACTTTATAAAGTGTCGCTATTTTACAAAGAATATAAAATTCTTTTCTTTTCTTTTTGGCTAAACAAAATAATTTAAAAAAATAGATGGTTTGGATCGTTAAAAAAAATTCATAAGGGACCTAAAGGGTGTCCCTCAAATAATTTATTTAAGGAATTCCTTAATAGAAGGGGACTGTATATATATAATTTGGGAAATTAATAAAATACTAGCCTCTTTTGTTAAATATATAGATATATAAAAAGATACAAAGATTTAAAAATTAGAAAGAAAATAAAAAAGAATGAAAAATATTTTGTTCAACATGGATATTCTCAGGGTTTTTTAATACTTCAGGTTTGAGACTTCTCCCCTTGTATATAAAATATGAAAAGAATTCGTTCACCTTCCCAAACTGATGGCCTCCCCTAAGAGCAACACCGAGCCAATAACTGTGATGATAAGATTTAATGGCTGTGACATGGCTTGGAAAACTGGCCCCTTCTTCTCAATAACATATGCTTGCAAGTAGTATGAAACGCCGGTCACCATGATGCCCTGATTGTTACCAGAAAAAAGAGAGGTTTCAATTTTTATTTTTATTTTTTTTCTGAAAATAAAAGAGAACTACAAAGAGGTTCGTAAAAATTCTCGACAAATCCTATTACCGCACAAGTCAAATTTTAACTAAAAGAAATGAAACATGAAAATTTAAACCAGAAAAGAAAAATTTAGTCACTAAATGGACCCACCTAGACCTGATAATTTAAACCCCCAATTTCTCCAACTCGAATCTTACTTATGCAACAAGTTTTACAAAGTTTAATATTGAACCCTTTTGCCAAGACTAAAATTCTAGAATCTTACTTCTTTTGGCAATGATCTTAATCATGTCGGGTTTTTGTTTTTGTTTTTGTTTTTGTTTTTTTCTCTGCTGCCAGGACAAAGTTAAAGAAGGAAAGGCTGCAGAGAAAAAAGCTTGAAATCTGCTTACACAATAAGCAATTGCAAGTAAATTAATGTTCCAGGCCAGATTCCACTGATTAGGATCTCTTTCCAAAGCGATGGCAACAACAAATGACTGTGCTGCACTTGACAGGCATTGTAGACTTGTGAAGCGTAGCTTTGCAGGGTACTTTACAAGAAGTTGAGCCTGTTCAACCAAGCCAATAAAACACACTAAATTAAACCACCATCAGCATGCATTTAAGTTTTAAAATTAAGCTCGTCTGTTATCCAAAAAACTAAAAATATATATCACCAATGGGTCTAGACTTGTGGAAAAAGCCTTAATTTGTATATTAGTGGTTTCATATTCGAACCTACATGGCACTTTGGCAGTGTGTGCAATAAAAATCCCCCTCCCTCTTCCCAACTTTAGCAAAAATAAAAAACAAAAAAAATATGCCAAAGGGTTCCCACCACAGTGGTGGTGGATTCCCCCTCCCACATGGCACCCTGTGTGGTTTCTTTCCTCCAATATAACAAAAAAATAGCTAAAAAATATAAAAAGAGAGGAAACTAAATTAATTAAGGGTATAGGACAGAGAAGACTGGTTAGTACCTGAAGTACAAGCCACAAGCTCCAACAAATAATAGAAACGAGCAGGAGGAAACAACCAATCATCCATCTGTGCCCAGAAGAAGAAGCATGAGCTTGTTGTTGGTCTTGATGGCTGTTATGAGACTCCAAGAGGTGAGGATGTAAAAAAGGCTTCAACTGGGGTCCCTTGTAAAAACAAAGGACTGCCACACCTATCATGCTCACTACCAGGCCTACAACCTTTGCAATCCCAGCTGCTGTTTTTATCTTCACTTTCTCCATCCTGCATTTTAATAATAAAATTGAAATTATTAATACCTTCAAGTACCAGTGCTGGTAATTAATTAGTTTTGGTTTGGTTGGTGAAAAAAAAGTCATAAATAAATAAATTAATATATATATATATATATATATATATATATATGTGAGCTTTAACTTGTATGGACCGCCGCTGATGATGCCTTATGGAAGAAGAAAAAGAGAAAATGGTGGACTAATATAATCTCTGGTATCCCCTTCCTTCTAATCTCCTTTTGTGAATCAATTTCAATTTATATGGAAACAGAAGTTGAAGAGAGAGAGAGAGAGAGAGCAAAATTAAGCAAGTACCTGAGCAAAACTGCAAAGAAAAATGTTGCAACAGGTAGACAGTTAATGGATGCTGCACCCAAAGTCGCTGATGTGTAGGTAAGGGCAATGCAATAAGCATTTATGGCCAAAGTGATCCTGAAATAATCATAAACCATTGATTTGTTTTTGTTTTTTTTTGCAAGAGCAATGAACAAATATTAATGAACTTAGCAATTAGGAAAAAGATTAAAACCCTACTTACCCCAGAAAAGACAGCATAAAAATCTTGCAGAAGGTCACAACAGAAAGAGGCGTTGCACTTTTCCTGGAATATATCCCAACCAGAACAAAAAACCAATAACGAACTGTAGATTTGTGATTGTGATCATAAGAATGAAAAGAAGAAGCGAAGTTTTAATTACCTTTCAAAGATCATGGCAAGAGGGGACATGAACAGAGCTCCTGCCATTTGTCTGTAGAAGACGAACACGTAGCTGTTCATACCACCATTGAAAGCAGCTTTAGAGAGCAAGATCATGCCTGCATATATTATCTGTATGAAAATTACTGCCAAATAAGGTTTCGTTGAACCCATTGATCACAAGGATCGATATAGGCTTGAAACCTTTGGACAGCCTTCAGAAGAATTCAGATCAAGTAGAACTAGTGACTGAACGGAAGTGCTTTTATATACTTTATATAGCAAGACCCCTTTTGCTTCTTTTTTTTTTAATTTCTTTCTACTTTCTTTATTTATTTCGGTTTCGTATTCATAATTCACATCCTCATACCATACCGTACACCTCCAACGTCCCTACGCCACGTTTGGAAGGTGAGACAAACTGGGACATTTTCCCTTTTGGCAGCCTTGTCCAATCTTTAGGTTTTTACTTTTTCAGATTGAAAAATGCAAGAGAGATCACATTTTTTTAATCGTATTTATGTATCACATAATACGACAAGTGAGGTGCACACGTCGTGTTGATTAAAAATCAGTTTATTTTATCAAATGTGTAACCAATGTGGTCACTTTATATTTTTTAGTGTTTTTGATTTCCCATGTGTAATGAATGTTACAATAATGAGACTGAGACTGGATTTTAGTAATCTCAGTAGGGCAACTGTCCCACGTAATTATGGACAACTAGTTTCCTCCACAGGGATGGGTAGGCCTGGACTGAAATTAATCTCAATGCTTAAGACCACGCTATAGTATACCATATATACACATGGAAAATGACGCACTTGGAAACAAATGAGAAAAAGTTATATAGTAGACCACACAACAATTGAAATTGCTAGTGTATTTTATTGTCCAAGCAATATCTAATAGTTCTTTTATTTTTTTTAATAAAAAAATTATGATCATCAATGGGCAACCAGTTGAATCATTTTCATGACTGTTCCTTTTTATTTATTTTTTATTTATATGAAATGGGGGGGGTAAAACCCCAAGGACACACAGAAACTACTAACTACGGACTAGCCGAGTCCTAGTGACTCCAAGTAGATCATCAACAAGGCTAGCACCAATCCAACTTGGAGCCATATCAAGAAGACAAACACCTAAGCAGATCATTTTCATGACTGTTCCTTTTGATTGTGTAACATCATCACCGACTAATGGCAAATTCAGTAAATTTTCAGGAGAATGACAGTATTTAAAAGTAATTTTTCAAGAGAAGGGCAGTATTTAAAAGGCTAGAAAGGTCAAAAATAAAATAAAATTAACAACCACATAGACAGTCTTAGGTCTATTACTAATTAATTATAGTCTATACAGTATATCAATTAATATAAACAAAATTCATTCCATTTACACAATTAGTCTACCAAATTCATATTAAAATCATCAATTAATTTAATGAAAATCAATATGAATTAATCTATTCAAAATGCATATCAAATTATCAATTAAACAAATAAATTCTAATTGATTATACCTCGAGTCGTGCGCCGCGCAACCTCTTCATACTCAAGTTTGGTACTGATCATGCAATTATATAGAGATAACCAAATCAAAAATAAATAAAATAATATATATATGTATAAAGAAAAAAAACCAAAATAAATATAAAAAATCGGAGTGGTTGTTGATGAAGAAAAAAAAATTCAGAACCAGACCTTAAGACTTGCTGGGAAGGTATCAAGTTAGTTATTATCAATATCAACCCAAGGCTTAGGTCGGGCTTTTTATTCATTTCATGCAGCTGCACACCAAAGAAAATAACTCAGCCTCATTGAGGTACTTTTACAAATAGTTGGTAGGCACCTGCAGAGGGGCAACTTTCAGCACCACCAAAGCTACTTTTAGCAAGGGGAGATGCAGTTGTACCTTCTTACACCTCTATGGGTCTGCCACTACCAATGAGTGGTTTGGACTATCCCCTACTGTTAAGATATTTGATCATCATCATCAGCATAATTGTCGTAATTGATTCTTGTAATTGATATTTACTTAGTTTGGAAGATATGATTGCAATAGTTTAGGAACCATATTTGGTAAATAGCTAATTTCTAGTATCTGTATTGTTATATCATGCCTATATAAGGACATCTCTGTATCTTCGTTAAACACATCAATGAAATCTAATTCCCATATACAATTTCTCATGGTATCAGAGCTTTTCTAAGTATTACGTCTCTACCCAATCCTTGTACACCTACCATGGCCAGAGACGACACCAACCAAAAGAGCAGTGAATCAAAGCATGCTTCATCTACTGACATCTATTCAAACCCAGACCACCCATATTACCTATACCAATCAGACCACCCAGGAGCGGTCCTTGTGAAGACACCCCTTTCCACCAAAAACTATGGCAACTGGAGCCGGCAGATCAAAACGGCTCTAAGCGGGAAAAACAAAACTGGTTTTATCAATGGTTCTCTTGAGCCACCATCGGAGTTGATCAAACCCACCAAATTCAACCGTTGGAAAAGATGCAACGATATGGTTCTATCGTGGATCATTAATTCATTAGAACCCAAGATAGTGAATAGTGTCGTCTACACCGACTCAGCGCATGAACATTTAATGTCCATCACCTCCTATTACACAGAACTCAAGAGTTATTGGGATGAATTGTCATCTCACAACCAAATCGATACATGTCCATCTAGGAAGTCCTGTGGTGCTACAAAATCAATTATGAATTGTGCAGAATAGCAACATTTAATGGAACTCTTGATGGGACTCGATGATTCATATGCAAGCACTCGAAGCAACATATTGATCATGACGTCGCTGCCCACTACTCTGAAAGCCTACAGTCTCCTCCAAGATGAAAAATAGTGCCAAGTCGCCACCATCTCCACCGGTACCAGCGAGAGCATGGCTATGCTCAGCCTTTCTAATAACAACAGTAGGAAGAATAACACAGCAAAGGAAATGTCTTCAAATCAATCACCTTACCCCAACAATAATGGTAGAGCGTCGCGCAACAATCAACGAGAGCCCAGACACTGTGTTTACTGTAATGGTGACAAGCACAATGTAGAAAAATGTTTTTTCCTCGAAGGTTTTCCTCTTGGACACAAGTGGCATGGTAGGGAGCCACCTATCCCTCCACCACGATCCAATGGCAGCGGTCGTGCACATCAAGGGAGGACCAACCAGTTCAACCAAACTGGAACTCGACAACAATTCTCCGCCAACTACATCCATGGCTTAGAACCACCAACTCACCATCTTCAGTCCATAGTGCCTCACCTCTCCCTTGACCAGTGTAAGCAAATAATGGATGTCGTTGGTAAGGAGGATGTTAATCCAACACAAGCAAATTTTGTAGGTCTGAATTCTTCTTCTTGCTTTGGTTTTCATGCCAAAACATGTTTACTGGATGTCTAGATCATAGACAGTGGCACTACTGACCATATTACACACACTCCTAATCTTTTCACCACTTTCTCACACTTCTCTTCCACTAGTTGGGTTGCCCACCAAGGACAAAGCACAAATCACTTCAATAGGCACTACACAATTTGATGATCTTTTTCGCCTTACTAATGTTCTATGTGTTCCGTCCTTTAACGTCAATCTTCTGTTCGTATGTCTTACTCAATCCCTTCATTGTTTAGTTTATTTTTTTCCTACCTTTTGTTACATACAGGACTTGCGCACGCAGAAGATGATTGGATTGCGTAAGAGGCATGGGAACTTGTATTACTTCGATTCGCACCACCTCGCTTCGCACCTTCGCTCTTCTTCCACCTACCATATGACTATTCAAAATAATGCGTGGCACCTTCGATTGGGACATCCTTCCGATGCCAAACTTTGTTTATTATCCAAGCAATTTTCTGATATTTCCCTTCCTAAGCATATTTGTTATTTTTGCCCCTTAGCTAAGCAAACTAGATTGCCATTTCCTTCCAGTTCAATAAAGAGTATTATACCCTTTGATTTAATTCACTGTGATATTTGGGGACTACATAAAGTTGCCTCTCACTCTGGTGCCAAATATTTTTTTAACTATAGTTGATGATTTTTCATGAACTACATGGGTTTATATGATGAAATTTAAATCTAAGACACAACATTTGCTTATATCTTTCTTCTCTTTTGTGAAAACACAATTTAGCACCAACATCAAAGCCATTCATGTCGATAATTGGGGGGGGAGTGTGCATCCTTGAAATCCTTTTTCTCTAACAATGGCGTCATCTACCAACACACTTGCACCTATACACCCCAACAAAATGGAGTTGTCGAGAGAAAACATCAACATCTCCTTGAAATGGCACGAGCATTTAGCTTGCATGTTAATCTTCCTTTTCAATTTTGGGGTGACTATGTACTCATCACTACTTACCTTATCAATCATCTCCCCACACCTGTTTTAACCAACAAAACACCCTACGAAATTCTCTTTGGACGACCACTTACTTACAAACACCTTCGTGTGTTCGGTTGCTTATGTTATGCCACTAACCTCCAACCCACCAATAAATTCGACAACCGAGCTCTTAAATGTGTTTTTGTGGGCTACCCTTTCGGGCAAATGGCAAATCGTTTGTCTGATTTTGACAACTGCAAGTTTTTGGTCAGCCACGATGTTGTTTTTCACGAAATAATATTCCTATTTCTCACACCCAACACCAGCATCACACTTCAGCCCACTCACTCTACAATTCCACCAACAGATCCTCCTTACATCTTCAATTCGACCAGGCCCACAACACCTCCTAGCCCATTTTTTACACCACCTACCAGCCCATTACCCAACCAAACCATTGCAACGCCAACCTCACCATCCCTTATCTCCTCTGTACCTACTTTCCCTGACAAAACCAACGCCACCTCTCCTCCCTCCCATCTCGACTACCTAGACACCACTCCTACCCCAACACCACCTTCTCCTCTTCGGCGCTCCGCCTGCATCCCCCAGCCCTCTGTTCTTCTCAGAGATTTCGAATGCAACAGTACCATGTCCACCACTTATTCTGATTCATCTTCTGCCATCACAGGGGTAAGAGTTCTCGCTACCCACTTTCTAATTTTATTTCTTACCACAATTTATCTTCTACTCACTATTCATTTGTCTCAGCAATCTCCAAAATCATTGAGTCCACTTCCTATGCCTAGGCTTCCACTGATCCTCTTTGGTGTGAAGCTATGACAAAGGAAATACAGGCACTTGAGCAAAATAAGACTTGGATTCTCACCACTTTACCTGCAGGCAAACGACCTATTGGTTATAAATGGGTGTTCAAAGTCAAATACAACTATGATGGTACTGTTGAACGATATAAAGCCCGACTTGTTGCTAAAGGTTACACGCAAAAGGAAGGGCTCGACTACACTGAGACATTTTCTCCCACTGCCAAACTCGTTACCTTCCACTGCCTCCTTGCCATTGTAGCCGCTAGTGATTGGCCTCTCGATCAACTCGACGTGCAAAATGCATTTCTCCATGGTGACTTGGATGAGGAAGTTTACATGGTCCTTCCTCCCGAATCACGGGGGGAACTTAGTATGTCAGCTACGAAAGTCGCTCTATGGTTTAAAGCAAGCAAGCCATAATTGGTTTGCAAAGCTCACCGCTGCCTTCCGAGAAGCTGGATTTGTACAATCTATGGCTGATTATTCTTTATTTACAAGGTCCAACAAAAACTCTTTTACTGCCATTTTGGTTTACGTTGATGATATTATGATTACAGGAAACAATTCCCAAGCCATTCAATCCATCAAGGACTTTCTCAATCACCATTTTCGCATCAAGGATTTAGGACTCCTGAAATAATTTTTGGGCATATAAGTGGCACGATCTAGAAGAAGGATATTTATTTCACAATGCAATAATGCACTTGAATTACTTGATGAGACGAGTCTGCTAAGAGCACGTCCTTCATCCTTCCCCATGGAACAGACCGTAAGACTCAAGCCAAACGAAGGAAAATTACTCTATGATCCCACTAGGTACTACCGCTTGGTCGGACGTCTCATATACCTTATAGTGACTAGGCCAGACATAAGCCCATATGTTGTCCACGTGCTCAGCCGCTACATACATGAGCCGCACTAGCCACATCTTGACATTGCCTTACAGGTGTTATGATACATTAAAAATTCACCTGGACAAGGTATCTTCTTTCCAGCACAAAATGATCTCAAACTCAATGCCTTTTGTGACTCAGATTGGGCTACTTGTTCTACCACAAGACGTTCTGTGACGGGTTATTGTACCTTCATTGGCAATTCCTTGATTTCATGGAAAACAAGAAAACAAAACACCGTCTCACGATCATTAGCCGAAGCAAAGTATCGAGCTATAGCAGAAGCTTGTTGCAAACTCAAGTGGCTTAGATACATACTCAAGGACTTGAAAGTTCCACATTCTGAACCTACAACACTTCATTGTGATAATCAATCGGCTCTACATATTGCTAGGAATCCTGTCTTCCACGAGAGAACGAAACATAATGAGCTCGACTGCCACCTAGTGTGACAACATCTTGTTTTTGGGCTAATTTCCACAGTGTACACACCCACAAAGATGCAGCTGGCTGACCTGTTTATGAAACCACTAGGAAAGGCACCATTCTCTTTTCTATTTGGCAAGTTAGGAGTGTATGATATCCCTTCACCAACTTGAGGAGGCGTGTTAAGATATTTGATCATCATCATCTACATAATTGTCGTAATTGATTCTTGTAATTGATATTTACTTAGTCTGGAAAATATGATTGCAATAGTTTAGGAACCATGTTTGGTAAATAGCTAATTTCTAGAATCTGTATTGTTGTATCAGGCCTATATAAGGACATCTCTGTATCTTCATTAAACACATCAATGAAATCTAATTCCCATATATAATTTCTCACTTGCTCTTATGGGGGATGAAATTCATAATTGTGGATATTGCATAGTAGCGCATCACCAATAAGTACAAACCTCTTCCTAACAGAAATCAAAATAGAAAGTTAGCGTAGTTCAGGCTCAAATGCAAACATCCAAATCATCCAGACCTCCAATTCCCTCGTGTCGTTCCGTCGTTGCAGATCTACAATCGAGAGAATTGGGTAACTAGTAACAGGACATACCAATGCTTAAAACGGAGAATGGTGGTGGACAAACCACCCACGCAAAAACCGCTCTCATAAATAAGCACTTGCGAACATCATTGTCGACAAAGGAATTTTGGCGAATTCAATTATGCTAAATAAGAAAATAATTAAGGCTTAATGGATTACGAGCCCCACAACGCCCACATGGCATATGACTCATTAAAATTGGATTAGTTGTCAAAGGAGGTGGCACGTGTTGACATCCGATGAAGTGCATCAAACGGTTCAAATTGAAGATAAAATTAAGGAGAAGGATCTTTTGTGATTGACTTTGATTTAAATCAAATATTAATCAAGTCAATCAATTGAAGATAATTTGGTTAAATTGCCAAATTATTGAAATTGATTTTAAATCAAATCAAAATCCCATATATCAAGCTCCTAAAGAGAGAAAACCATTTAAATCGAGAACATTGCAGTATCAATTATGGATGTTTAGAATCACTATTGAAAGCTAGACAATGTGGGACAATATTTGGAATGCGAGACTACAATATATTTACATTCATTCCAATTACCATCTCACTCACGCTGGATCGTGTGGTTTGGCCATGGACATTATGTGACTCTTTTAAGGTGAAATCAGGGTATCATCAATTTCGTTGTATGCCACTGTCTCCAAAAGATTTTTGTATGCCTGGGGGTATTTCCCATCATCCCCACTCTTCCCACCAGATTTTGAGGACCTTTGGCAAGATGTTTACCTTGCCAAAAATCTTTTATTTTATTTTTATGCGGAGACAGTGGCAGAACTACGCTTAGGCTATTAGGGCTATAGCCCAGTGCAAGTGGGAAAAAGACAAAGACCTTGTACAAATTTTAATAAACTCCCTCTATTCCCACAAATATTAGCCCCTCCCTTCCTGCAAAATTAAAAGCTTAGTTAAACTTATATAAGCAAATAAGATGAATTTTTTTTGTTTATTTAGAAATGAGCAAGATCAAGATCTCATGAGTGAACCCAAAAACAGTTCCTCATTTAGTTTATACCTTATTTTCTCTTGGATTGAAAATGAGGTCATTCTTTTTTGTAAATATTCATTTTTATTTTTTATGTCTTTGTTTTGTGTGGTTTAGTTTTAAAAGTAAGCCAAATATATATATATATATATATATATATGGGGGCCGATCCGTGGCACTATGTTTTTGACACAATTTTTGGGCCATTAGATTACTCTATTTTTAATGGTTGAGATTAAATCTAACATGGCAAATAGTTTTAATGTTTTAAATAAACAATCATTAATTTTATTTTCTCTCTCATAAAAATAAAATAAAATTATTTTCTCTCCTCCCTTTTTTCTTGGAAACGAAATCTCTCTTCTTGGTAATATCCATTTTTTCTTGGTAATCTACTCTCTCTCTCTCTCTCTCTCTCCTCTCCTCTCCTCTCCTCTCCTCTCCTCCCTTTTTTCTTGGAAACGTAATCTCTCTTCTTGGTAATATCTATTTTTTCTTGGTAATCTAATCTCTCTCTCTCTAATGATTTAGAATATAAGCTGACTGAAGCTATGCTTTCTCTCAACACTTGATAATATCTTAATAGATTATGCGTGAGACTTTTTTTTTGGAAATAAATCGATCAAGCATTGAAGATTAATTGAGGCAACAGTCTTGGGTGAGGAGATTCTGAACAAGCTCAGGGGCCTCACCAAACCAAAAACAATCTTGGGGCAAATGAAAAGCAAACAAGGCAAACCCTGTTAGCAACTCGATTACAAAGCCTAGGCACATGGGCCACGGAGGATGACTGGAATTGAGAGAGGAGCACACAACAGTCATCAATCAAAACCCCCTACCAGAACCAAAATCGATCAAATGCGTGAGACTTAATATGCTATGTTATGGTAGGAAACTCAAGATTTATTGCTTGCTCCATAGATTGTGTGACTCTACCTTGTCGACTCTGCTTCCTCTGCTTTTACAACCTTTAAAGCTGGCCTTGCCTCAACCCGATTCACACTGACAGATTATGTTTAATCCATTTTCTATCTGCCTATATTGATCTCTCAAGTTCTCAGCTCTTTGATTGAATTAGCAAATGAAAATGATATGAAACCAGTCAGATCTGCCTATAGCTTTTATCAATGAAGTATTTCACTGAATAAATTCTCTGATGATAGTCAGGTCTTCCACCTCTTAGACATTAGAAAAAAAGTGAAAGGAAGAAATTTAGGAGGAAAATGAAAATGATATGAAACCACAATGCAAATATTAATTAAGAAGCTGGTTTGGGGACGAGAGAGAGAGAGAAAGAAGAAACAAAGGCAAAGAAGGTTGCGTCAATTCTTTGTAGAAGAAAGAGAGAGAGAGAATGAATTAATTAAAGATAATCAATGAGATGAGAGAGAATGAATTCTTAATTAATATGGTATCAAAATTTTAATCCTAATGTATAAATATTAATTAAAGAGAAATTTTTTGCCATGTCATGTTTAATCTCAACCATTAAATGTGGAGTAATCTAATGACCCAAAAATTGTGTCAAAACTTGTGTCAAAAATATAGTGCCACGGATCCCCCCCTATATATATATATTGAACTTAAATTTCAATCGAATCTCACGATTTCATTCCGATATGTCAATGTCACTGACTTATATAATTTGAATGTACTTATTAGTTTTTTTTAGTTTTATTATCATAAATATTTGCGTGATGCTTGACAATATGCACTTTTTTTTAAAATTCTTTTTTTTTCTTTTTTATGGTATCTTGCCGGATCCTCGATTGGTAATTGATCGGGCAGCTTCTGCCAATGAAGAGTTTCTTATGGCTTGCAAGCGCATCCATGTTTAGGTGGCTACCGATGCAATCCACAAACTTGTGAGTGCTAATAAGTTCCCTCTGTATTTCGTTGTTTCTTGTTGGGGGCTGTTTCCCTTTTTCTTGCACTTGTTATGAAAGTTTGTTATGACAAAAAAAAATAAAATAAAGGGTTGAAATGGATTTTGCTGTGGCAACTCAGGGCTGTTTGTTATTTTATTTGAATCCAATTTTATAAACTCAAAAACAGATTTTAATTCTAAAGTCATAAAAACCCTTTTGGTCGCCCCATTTTTTAAAACCCAAACCCAAGAAAAACATAAAAAGTGAGGTTTTTTAAATTTTTTTCTGCACTCTCTCTCTCTCGTCGCTTTCTCTCTCCTCCCTCTCCCGCTCTCTCTCTCTCTCCTACCTCTACTGTCTCTTTCTCTCTCTCTCCCTATCCACACTAGCCTTTGCTTTCTTATGCCTCGCTACTATTAATGTAGGCTGTTTTGATTTCTTTCCTGCTAAACTCAGGCAGCACGCATCCCTCTATCCTTTCTCCTCTCTCTTCTCCCTCTTTCATTTTTTTGTTGTTAATTTCAATTTGGGAATCTAGAGTTTCTGATTTTAATCTCAATTTTTTTAAGATCTTAAAAATAGTTTGGAGTTCAATACCAAACATGTTTTTAAATCTTAAAATTAGTATTTAAAAACTAATGTTTTAAAAATAAATCAAAATTTTTCAGTTCTTTTTTTTTAATAGGATACTAAATAGGCCCTCAATTACTCCAACATCATAACATGAGTTTCCATCCTTTCGGAGCTTTGAGATTCTTGCTTGCTTGCTTAATTGGAAGTCGGTTATGAGATGTAATTGGGCTTGTTAATCTCAATTCAATCATGTGAGTAATTATGGCACTATAGTATTGATATGTAGTATAACTCATTTACGTGTTATAATATAAGTTAATATTTATTGATATTATATCTTAAAAGTGAAAAATTATAACTCTATCATCTATCCATATTATAACATGTGTACAAATTATACTACGTGACTGTATTCTAGTAACACGTGGACGGGTTATCATGAAAGGAATGCCTTAGGGAATCGGTATGGGAGGAAGTTGTTGTTTGGGCCTTTTGGCACCGCCCAAAATTAATTTTACGATGGGCCCCAACACAAGAAACATATGGCCGAGCTTTTGTTGTGTTCAAACTCAGAACAATATATGAACATGGGGCCCGTGACACGCAATCTTTTTAGAGCCCAACCATGTGCATAGCACGTGCCAAGAGGTTTTAGATCGCCTTCCTCTTCCACCCTAAAACCCTCACTCTCAGACTCTCAGTGAATCTTCAAATTTTTTCTTCCCAACTCCCGAATCCAAATAATCACCATGAAATGATAGAACCCATTTCTCATTTCCGTCATTTCCACCCCAAAACCCTTTCGCCTAATCTTAACCCTAATTCTCATCCCACCCACCATGAGACCCATCTCTCCAAGAACCCTCTTCCACTTCTCTTCCTCCTCGCTATCTCCTCCTCCTCCATTTCTTCAGATTTCTCACTTTTCGACCTCTTCTTCAGGTCACCATTTTCACAGTCACTCTTCTTTCAGACGCCACGATGAGGAGGTTCGGAACGTGAGGATTTCGGTTTGGTGGGACTTTGAGAACTGCCATTTGCCGGCCGGCGTCAACGTGTTCAAGGTATCATATGCGATCACCACGGCTATCAGGACCAGTGGGATAAAGGGCCCCATTCAGATCACGGCTTTCGGGGACATGTTGCAGCTATCAAGGGCCAACCAGGAAGCCTTGTCGTCTACCGGGGTCAATCTTACTCACGTTCCTCACGGTTAGTCTCATTTTTCCTTTTGTGAATTATTTAATTACAACTTAAAAGTTACTGCAAATGAATTAAAGTTGGGAATTATGTGGTGCAGTGCTGAAATAAAGTAGCCTATACTCATACGTGTACATCTGTAATTGTGTCGTGTGAGTGCAAGTGGTGTGATAAGGGTTGATTAAGTGGAAGAATGCGTGAGAAAATTGTATATAAAGTAACTGGGTGACTGCAGTGTGTGTATCTGGTCTTTCAAGGATGATATAGGTATATATAAAGGAAAAAAAAAAAAAAAAAAAAAAAAAAAAAAAAAATTATGGCTGCACAGAGTGACCAGTCATAGCACTAAAGGAGAACGCAGTTAAGCAGTTAAAGGTGTAATTTTTTGAGGGTCCAGTGGCTGTCTATCATGGTATTAGAGCTCTAGTTAAAACTGTAGTCCCACTTTGTTAGTTTGGAAGGTGCAGTCTGAGGCTAAATCTATATGTTTTTCTCTGTCTGCTTTTGTCTGCTTCTCCACATGTCCAATGGGGCTGCACTTTGTTAGTTTGCAAGTTGAAGGCTGAGGTCTCATCTTCAAAACCTGTGGTTGCACATTGGTTGCCTAGTCCCTAACAGCATAAGCGTTTAGAGTCTCTTGTTGGCTAACAAAAATGAGATAATCCACTTTGACTTATTTTGGTTGCTATAACTTGGATGAAAGAAATTTGTACCTCCAGCCCTAATAGAACAGCTACAGAAAATCATTCTTGGCCCAGTGCGGCCCTCTTTATCATCTTGCGATAATTCGACCAGAGAGTGAGGAGGGGTTTCTAACACTATGTAGTTTTATCACTTTTATTTAACAGGTGGGCAGGTACACAAACATAGTACAGAAAATAGGACTTAATTGGGAAACCAATATAACTATGAGTCCCTAAATTTATGAAATCAAAAGAATATTAAAGGAAAAAAGAAAAGATCTAGATATGGCTATCAGTCTAACAATGCATAAATGTAGCATTGACCTGGCATTGCTGCACAATTGGAGCAATAATTTTCTTTTTCCTTTGATGCTCGCATCACAATATGTAATAAAGTTAATAGATGTTCAAATTTAATCTCCCCTTTGTATGAATGAAGTGTTCAAGGCTTGTTTTCTCAAGGGTTCTCTCTCAAGTCCGAAAATGGGGACTTGGGTATTTGTACTTGCCAGTATGAAGAATAGCTATATTTAACCGTTGCAGATCTTGAGGTTGACTGTCTCTAATCATTGTAAACTTCATCCATTTATAGTTATAGCTATAAACATTCCAATAATCAAATATCAAACATATTGTTAATTTTGAGATTGTCAACTAATACTAGTATTCTATTATACATGAATTTGGTTAAGGGTCTGAAGTATATGACCTCTTTTAAGTGTTGCAACTATTGCCTTTGATCCGCATGCAACTCTTTTGGACAGTAGGCTATACTATAATATGCTGAATATAAATCTAGGATCCTTGTACATGATGGATTATTTAATTTTTTGCTTTTATCTTTGAGCTCGTTTGTATTCAAAGTTAGTCATTGCTTGTATTGGAGAGAACATTTTAAGATATGTGACTTGCAATTGAAGTAAGGAAGAAAATTTCTCTCATGCTGTTGTTCTTAGTAAAGGTGTTTTATCTACTAATAGTTTCAATAAAATTCCAGATATTGAATACAGGTCATGAGTACTTTTCCTTTCATATCTGATGAAAAAAAATTTATGCCGAACATATAAGTTTTTCACCCATGGTTTTATGTATGTCATCATTTTATGCAAGATGTCATACTGGTGGTAAATGCTTAATGTACCTTCTGAAGTAAAGTTCACTACTGGATTTTCTGTTCAAAATAAAATTTCAACTTGAAATGTGTTTAACATGGCATTACCATGTATGTCTATGCGCATAGACATACATTCAATTATACAACTTTTTTCTTGTATCCTAACCATATTATATTGCACATGTTTTTGTTAGTGCAGGTGGAAAGAACAGTGCTCATAGGTCTCTTCTTGTAGATCTTATGTATTGGGTTTCTCAAAATCCCCCACCAGCACATCTTTTCTTAATTTCTGGTGACAGGGATTTTGCTACCATTTTGCACAGGTTAAGATTGAACAACTACAATATATTGCTAGCAAGTCCAGAAAATGCTCCTGGTGTCCTCTGTAGTGCTGCAAGTATCATGTGGCCATGGCATGCTTTGCTTACAGGTGAAAACCTCAGTGGAAAGTATTTTAACCAACCACCTGATGGTCCCTATGGTTCTTGGTATGGCCATTACAAGGTGCCTCTTGAAGACCCATACTCAGTCATTGAGCAGCCAGCATGTTCACAGACTGAGAAGTTGTCTGAACCTGGTTCAGAATCTAAGCCTCGTCCGATTCCAAATACGGTCATGAAGCAAATTAGTCAGATATTGAACTCACATCCTAAAGGAATCTCCATTACAAACCTTCGCATGGAGCTTGGAAAATGTAATATGAGTTTAGATAGAGACTTCTATGGGTATAAAAAGTTTTCCCACTTTCTTTTATCAATGCCACATATTTTAAAGCTCCAATCAGTAGGTGATGGAAACTTTCTTGTACATGGTGGAAGCACAAAATCATCTGAACCATGTCAGTCCAATGTAGGTATGTCCACAGAGTCCAGTGGTGATAATGGAGGCTGGGATCTCAGTTTAGCTTCACAGTTAGATTATGAAGACAAATCTATTAATATAAGTACAAATGGAAAGTTGTCATCACCTACATCCCATGAACCAAATGTGGGAGACCCTATAGAATTGCAATCGCCCTTTTCCCCTAAGTCAGATGGGAAGTCACTATTGGCTCCTTCCCCTGAGAATGTGAAGTCTTCAGCAAAACCACATCTTTCTCCGCTTGATGAGAAGTCACTGTCCACTCCTTCCCCTGATAATGTGAAGGCTTCAGTGCCCATTGATGAGAAGTTTGTCGAAGTGGCTAAAAATTTAGATACTGAGCCTCATTTTCCTCCGGCGGTTGCACAAGATTCTGCATCTGAGGTGGGTTATTTTAACAGGATTTGGAGAAAATGGTTTGGCTGTAGTGATAATGTTTCAGGGACTAGAAGTCATGACAGTCCGGAAAAACATTACACTTCTGATAATGTCACTGAGAAGGAAGACGATGACACCCCAGTGAAACAGTGTACTTCTGTTGGTAACTCTAGACAAAGAAAAGATAAGGAAAAGTCTGTGGGATCAACGAGTCAGGTTGTTGATCAAGCACCTCCTACTTCATCTTCTTCATCCTATAATGAATCAGATAAGGACAACAAAACTGCGACAAGAACAAGTCGAGGGATTTTTGGTCAGATAGTAAACTGGTGTAAATTCCGGAGAAGTATCCCAAGCTCTGATAAATTGAGTGATCAATCCTGTGACAGACCAACCCTGATGAACACTCACTCTCAAGAACACATGCTCTTTTCGACGGATTCATTTTGGGGCGACATGGAATCATTCATGGACACACCTAAAGGATCAGTTATTGTTTCCGAATCGAGGACCAGGTTGAATTTACTCCTTTATTCTCTTCTTTTTTGTGAATTATGCAAACACATACACATGCCCAGTTCTACTCTTCACGTTTGTGTTTCTCTGTGTTATGGAATTCTTTTTATGATTAAAAAAAGTGATCTCAACTTCCTTTTTTTTTCCGTCACAGATAATTCTGTCCAACTCTAGAACTAGGGATTCTCTAAGTTGTTTCTTGATTTTTTGTCTGGCTCTTTAGGTCCTTAATTTTGTAATTTAATACATATATATGTTGCTGTATGTATGCATGCATGTGTGCGTACATTGGGTAATGTTCTCTTGCTAGATATCTGGCCTGTATTTTGTTAGACTGAAATCAAATTTCAAATTGTAAGTTTGGAAAGATAAAATTTTCTTATATGTATGTGTATGTATGAAAGTTCAACCCTTCAAAAGTCTTGGATGTATTATAATCCGTTGGAATGAAAATAACTGAGATAATTTCTTCAAATTAAATATCAAGAAGGAAAAAAGGATCCATTCTGAATTTGTCCACAAGGCAGAAAATTTTGAAGTTGAATTAAATGAATTGCATCAAGGAGGTCCAATAGAATTTAATTATGGGTGTAGTCTTTCATTGAGGATACAAGGTTGATCAGTCCATTTTGACATTGCAAAAAGTATGAGAAACCTGAAGTTAGGTTCTTTTAAACGCCCATATTGTTTTCAAATTACTTTTCACACTCCTGTAGTTTTAAACGGTTCTCAATGATCCTTGCTCATACTGAAGTTGATGTTCAAATATCCAGTCATTGGTAACAGTTGAACCCAAATTGATTCTTTTGCTGATATTCTTTGATAGTATTGTTTAAACTTGATTTCATCGGAAGTTGCTATTAAACTTGTATCGTAATGTTATCCTTGTGTCTTCAATTGTTACAGGGAACATATGGCACTGAATCTTCAAAAGGAAGGACCTTTATTCCTTAGATCTCTCCACAAAGGTGATCTCGTTCACTTGGTAGATTTGTTAATATCAGAAAAGAAATGGGTGGAAGAAAGCCCCTCCCAGACGTTGCCATTCAAACTCACCCATTGTGATGGAAAGAGTTCTCTAGATCATTCTAATGTTACAAATAGGTTGAGATCCATCTTTTTGAATAAACCATCACCGCATGACATACAGAGATCACCAGAGCATGATGGAGAGGAAAAATGTCGGAATATTCCTCATAGTGGAGTTTCACTACCTGCCATTAAAAAGAAACCCTCCGACAGTTGTAGAAGTGAGATAATAGCAGACTGTCAAAAGCTTGTAAATGAGATATTGAAAGAGTACCCAGGAGGATATAACATGGCCTTATTCCGAAAGTTGTTTCTTGATAGATATGGCTACCACCTTGATTTTCCTATGCTTGGTTATCAAAAGTTGGCATCCCTGTTGCAAACGATGCCTGGAGTTAAACTAGAGTCCTCTTACATCATTCCTGCTTGTAAGACTCCAAAAATGTTTGCTATGGACACTTCTATTCCCAATATCCAAAAACATACTCTCAGTCGTACAGTGGCTAATTCAGATAGTGAATTATCTGATGTGTCAAGCAAGGATGATGTTAGCGACTTGCCCTGGGAAGAGCTGGGCCCTGTCGCCAACACATCGAACAAAAAAGAAGTGGAAGTAGCATCAAGGAGGAAGGCAATAGGATCAAGAGGTTTTGATTATGAACTGTCCCTCTCAGATGACTTGTCAGATTCAGAAGGAGAGACTTCGCCCTTAACTGAATCAGAAGAAGGCGCGGCCAGAGTGAACAAGGAAGATAGCTCCCTATTGCAGATCCTTGACTCGTGGTACAGCGGTAAGGATGGTGGAAGTAGCAAGGACATGTCAGAGAATTTTGAGGGGTTGGTTGATTCCACAAATGTTTCTAAGCTATCTGTTTCATCTGGAGTTGGCACCATGCGTGGTGCTTCTTTGGGAAACCATGCCCGGAAGCAAAGACCTCAAAAGAACTACTCTTTTGTTCCAGACTCTGGTGATAACAAGGACAAGCTAATTGATGGCATACTAGGTAGCTTGAAGAAATCAAGTAAGCCAAGTCTGAGGAGCTAGAGGGTTTAAATAATTAAGAGCGAGAGCAAGTCAATGAAGCATTTATCTTCTACGTTTGGAATACTAGGAAATGTAGAACTTGAGCACTTATAAGCAAGGTCTAAAATATCGAGAGTTTTGGAAATATCGATGGAAATATCGAGGAAATATCGATATCGATAAAAATTGAATAAAAATTACGAAAATTGTAAGAAAATTTTGGAAATTTTTATTGTAACTTTAGAGGATGTTTATTTAGTCAATTGTCTATTATTTTATCACAAAAAATTGGAATAAAATGCATGGCATGGTGGGTTTGAGTGATTTAAGTTGATTATGTAGCAACCTAAAAAATACTGTCTTTAGAAAATATGTAGTAATTAGTGAAAGAAAATTAAACACACCATAATTTTTAGTTATAATAATTTACTACAATATATTACATATGATAATATATATGAGCTTGGAAAAAAAAACAAAAATAAAACATATGAGTAACTTAGTACCACAGAAAGAATTCGTTAAAACTTAGTATCACATATAATGAACAATATTAAAACTCAATGGTGAATAATAATACAACTCTATAATATATAACCAAAAACAAAAAAATACAACTTCATAATGAAATAATAAATAACATTAAACATATGCCTAAAGTTATCATTAAATTTTTTTTTTTAATGGAAATTTATCCTAGATAATATTAGCTTGCATAAATTTTAAAGACCATATAAATATTACGCGTAGTAGCTTTATTAACAAATTCGTCCGTAGCATGTTGGATAAGGCTCAGTAGGAAGATGAGAGAGAGAGAGAGGGCTTTGAGTCCCCTTGTGCGCAAAACCTCCATTTCTCAACAATTTTCATTTATTTTTCAGTTTCATATCGCGATAATCGATATTTAAGACTTTGCTTATAAGTGATGTAATCCTGGTCATGCATCATTTTTTCGAGATTAGGTTTCGTTTACAGATTTGATTTTTGTAAAAGGCATAGCTAGGATGAAACATGGTTTTAAAATAAACATCTCTTATAAAAATAGCTCCAAAATCTTACAACTTTACAATTAAAACCATGTTTCATCTTCTTTTTATTTTTTTTATTATTTTTTTTATTTTCACGCATCGGGCGCGGGGTTTTCACCGAGCAACCACCGCTCAGTAGGGACATGAGACCTTACCAGAGTATAATGATATAACTAAATTAAGTGACATGCAATCACACAACCAAAATATCATATTATTAATAATAATGCATGAACGAATGCTCTTCATCTACTCTTGTTAATTCATATAACTGGACAAACAGACCTGCACGTCCCATACCATGCTTATACCACTTGGTCCCGAATGCCTATTTATATAAACTATCACCCATTTCAATCATCCCGTAATTCCCCTTTTGTCAGTCATTTTGTCTAACTCCCTATCGCCAGTCTCGAATCACCGAATGAAAACCATGTGCACTGTGGGATGCAAAACGAGGACTTCCCAGGAGGTCACCCATCCTAGTACTACTCTCGCCCAAACTCGCTTAACTTCGGAGTTCTGATGGGATCCGGTGCATGTGAGTTGGTATGATCGCATCCGTTAGCTTGTAACGCCTGAAAGTATATAAGCCACGGTTTGAGCCGTGCCGTATGATGCCCTACCTAGCGATAATGGAACCCAAAAGAAAAAAGAAAAAAAAATCCCAATAATTTCGGCAGTGCGTCGGTCCCGCTGCGTTTTCGTTTTCGTTCCTTTCCGGTGCCCAGTTAATTGGAGGCGAGCTCCTCGGGGTGGCGTAGGACAGAAGGCGGAAGCAATTCAAGAGGAGCGCGTGCAATGGCAAATCGGGCGAATCGCATATCTGGGGTCCGGCCTCAGAATTAGGCCCATGAACCCTAAACCTAGGATTTTCTAGGACGATTTAGGGCTTAGGGGCCGTGGGAAAACGAAGACAGCCAGATGAATAAGACGACGGAAAGCAAACGCCCACGACAATTGAAACGTCAAAAAGACAAAAAGAAGGGATGCAACACGAGGACTTCCCAGGAGGTCACCCATCCTAGTACTACTCTCGCCCAAACTCGCTTAACTTCGGAGTTCTGATGGGATCCGGTGCATGTGAGTTGGTATGATCGCATCCGTTAGCTTATAACGCCTGAAAGTATATAAGCCACGTTTGAGCCGTGCCGTATGATGCCCTACCTAGCGATAATGGAACCCAAAAGAAAAAAGAAAAAAAAATCCCAATAATTTCGGCAGTGCGTCGGTCCCGCTGCGTTTTCGTTTTCGTTCCTTTCCGGTGCCCAGTTAATTGGAGGCGAGCTCCTCGGGGTGGCGTAGGACAGAAGGCGGAAGCAATTCAAGAGGAGCGCGTGCAACGGCAAATCGGGCGAATCGCATATCTGGGGTCCGGCCTCAGAATTAGGCCCCATGAACAGTCGATTTGAAGAGAACGGCGCCACGAGTAAAACTCATTGCGTTGCGATGACCTACGGGCTTTCTCGGGCATCCGACATCGTTTACTAGCGCGAAATTCCGTTTTTGGAGAACTTTGTCGTTTTCCCATTTGAATTCCGTTGTCAATCCCGGGATTTTCTAGGACGATTTAGGGCTTAGGGGCCGTGGGAAAACGAAGACAGCCAGATGAATAAGACGACGGAAAGCAAACGCCCACGACAATTGAAACGTCAAAAAGACAAAAAGAAGGGATGCAACACGAGGACTTCCCAGGAGGTCACCCATCCTAGTACTACTCTCGCCCAAACTCGCTTAACTTCGGAGTTCTGATGGGATCCGGTGCATGTGAGTTGGTATGATCGCATCCGTTAGCTTATAACGCCTGAAAGTATATAAGCCACGTTTGAGCCGTGCCGTATGATGCCCTACCTAGCGATAATGGAACCCAAAAGAAAAAAGAAAAAAAATCCCAATAATTTCGGCAGTGCGTCGGTCCCGCTGCGTTTTCGTTTTCGTTCCTTTCCGGTGCCCAGTTAATTGGAGGCGAGCTCCTCGGGGTGGCGTAGGACAGAAGGCGGAAGCAATTCAAGAGGAGCGCGTGCAACGGCAAATCGGGCGAATCGCATATCTGGGGTCCGGCCTCAGAATTAGGCCCATGAACAGTCGATTTGAAGAGAACGGCGCCACGAGTAAAACTCATTGCGTTGCGATGACCTACGGGCTTTCTCGGGCATCCGACATCGTTTACTAGCGCGAAATTCCGTTTTTGGAGAACTTTGTCGTTTTCCCATTTGAATTCCGTTGTCAATCCCGGGATTTTCTAGGACGATTTAGGGCTTAGGGGCCGTGGGAAAACGAAGACAGCCAGATGAATAAGACGACGGAAAGCAAACGCCCACGACAATTGAAACGTCAAAAAGACAAAAAGAAGGGATGCAACACGAGGACTTCCCAGGAGGTCACCCATCCTAGTACTACTCTCGCCCAAACTCGCTTAACTTCGGAGTTCTGATGGGATCCGGTGCATGTGAGTTGGTATGATCGCATCCGTTAGCTTATAACGCCTGAAAGTATATAAGCCACGTTTGAGCCGTGCCGTATGATGCCCTACCTAGCGATAATGGAACCCAAAAGAAAAAGAAAAAAAAATCCCAATAATTTCGGCAGTGCGTCGGTCCCGCTGCGTTTTCGTTTTCGTTCCTTTCCGGTGCCCAGTTAATTGGAGGCGAGCTCCTCGGGGTGGCGTAGGACAGAAGGCGGAAGCAATTCAAGAGGAGCGCGTGCAACGGCAAATCGGGCGAATCGCATATCTGGGGTCCGGCCTCAGAATTAGGCCCATGAACAGTCGATTTGAAGAGAACGGCGCCACGAGTAAAACTCATTGCGTTGCGATGACCTACGGGCTTTCTCGGGCATCCGACATCGTTTACTAGCGCGAAATTCCGTTTTTGGAGAACTTTGTCGTTTTCCCATTTGAATTCCGTTGTCAATCCCGGGATTTTCTAGGACGATTTAGGGCTTAGGGGCCGTGGGAAAACGAAGACAGCCAGATGAATAAGACGACGGAAAGCAAACGCCCACGACAATTGAAACGTCAAAAAGACAAAAAGAAGGGATGCAACACGAGGACTTCCCAGGAGGTCACCCATCCTAGTACTACTCTCGCCCAAACTCGCTTAACTTCGGAGTTCTGATGGGATCCGGTGCATGTGAGTTGGTATGATCGCATCCGTTAGCTTATAACGCCTGAAAGTATATAAGCCACGTTTGAGCCGTGCCGTATGATGCCCTACCTAGCGATAATGGAACCCAAAAGAAAAAAGAAAAAAAAATCCCAATAATTTCGGCAGTGCGTCGGTCCCGCTGCGTTTTCGTTTTCGTTCCTTTCCGGTGCCCAGTTAATTGGAGGCGAGCTCCTCGGGGTGGCGTAGGACAGAAGGCGGAAGCAATTCAAGAGGAGCGCGTGCAACGGCAAATCGGGCGAATCGCATATCTGGGGTCCGGCCTCAGAATTAGGCCCATGAACAGTCGATTTGAAGAGAACGGCGCCACGAGTAAAACTCATTGCGTTGCGATGACCTACGGGCTTTCTCGGGCATCCGACATCGTTTACTAGCGCGAAATTCCGTTTTTGGAGAACTTTGTCGTTTTCCCCATTTGAATTCCGTTGTCAATCCCGGGATTTTCTAGGACGATTTAGGGCTTAGGGGCCGTGGGAAAACGAAGACAGCCAGATGAATAAGACGACGGAAAGCAAACGCCCACGACAATTGAAACGTCAAAAAGACAAAAAGAAGGGATGCAACACGAGGACTTCCCAGGAGGTCACCCATCCTAGTACTACTCTCGCCCAAACTCGCTTAACTTCGGAGTTCTGATGGGATCCGGTGCATGTGAGTTGGTATGATCGCATCCGTTAGCTTATAACGCCTGAAAGTATATAAGCCACGTTTGAGCCGTGCCGTATGATGCCCTACCTAGCGATAATGGAACCCAAAAGAAAAAAGAAAAAAAAATCCCAATAATTTCGGCAGTGCGTCGGTCCCGCTGCGTTTTCGTTTTCGTTCCTTTCCGGTGCCCAGTTAATTGGAGGCGAGCTCCTCGGGGTGGCGTAGGACAGAAGGCGGAAGCAATTCAAGAGGAGCGCGTGCAACGGCAAATCGGGCGAATCGCATATCTGGGGTCCGGCCTCAGAATTAGGCCCATGAACAGTCGATTTGAAGAGAACGGCGCCACGAGTAAAACTCATTGCGTTGCGATGACCTACGGGCTTTCTCGGGCATCCGACATCGTTTACTAGCGCGAAATTCCGTTTTTGGAGAACTTTGTCGTTTTCCCATTTGAATTCCGTTGTCAATCCCGGGATTTTCTAGGACGATTTAGGGCTTAGGGGCCGTGGGAAAACGAAGACAGCCAGATGAATAAGACGACGGAAAGCAAACGCCCACGACAATTGAAACGTCAAAAAGACAAAAAGAAGGGATGCAACACGAGGACTTCCCAGGAGGTCACCCATCCTAGTACTACTCTCGCCCAAACTCGCTTAACTTCGGAGTTCTGATGGGATCCGGTGCATGTGAGTTGGTATGATCGCATCCGTTAGCTTATAACGCCTGAAAGTATATAAGCCACGTTTGAGCCGTGCCGTATGATGCCCTACCTAGCGATAATGGAACCCAAAAGAAAAAAGAAAAAAAAATCCCAATAATTTCGGCAGTGCGTCGGTCCCGCTGCGTTTTCGTTTTCGTTCCTTTCCGGTGCCCAGTTAATTGGAGGCGAGCTCCTCGGGGTGGCGTAGGACAGAAGGCGGAAGCAATTCAAGAGGAGCGCGTGCAACGGCAAATCGGGCGAATCGCATATCTGGGGTCCGGCCTCAGAATTAGGCCCATGAACAGTCGATTTGAAGAGAACGGCGCCACGAGTAAAACTCATTGCGTTGCGATGACCTACGGGCTTTCTCGGGCATCCGACATCGTTTACTAGCGCGAAATTCCGTTTTTGGAGAACTTTGTCGTTTTCCCCATTTGAATTCCGTTGTCAATCCCGGGATTTTCTAGGACGATTTAGGGCTTAGGGGCCGTGGGAAAACGAAGACAGCCAGATGAATAAGACGACGGAAAGCAAACGCCCACGACAATTGAAACGTCAAAAAGACAAAAAGAAGGGATGCAACACGAGGACTTCCCAGGAGGTCACCCATCCTAGTACTACTCTCGCCCAAACTCGCTTAACTTCGGAGTTCTGATGGGATCCGGTGCATGTGAGTTGGTATGATCGCATCCGTTAGCTTATAACGCCTGAAAGTATATAAGCCACGTTTGAGCCGTGCCGTATGATGCCCTACCTAGCGATAATGGAACCCAAAAGAAAAAAGAAAAAAAAATCCCAATAATTTCGGCAGTGCGTCGGTCCCGCTGCGTTTTCGTTTTCGTTCCTTTCCGGTGCCCAGTTAATTGGAGGCGAGCTCCTCGGGGTGGCGTAGGACAGAAGGCGGAAGCAATTCAAGAGGAGCGCGTGCAACGGCAAATCGGGCGAATCGCATATCTGGGGTCCGGCCTCAGAATTAGGCCCATGAACAGTCGATTTGAAGAGAACGGCGCCACGAGTAAAACTCATTGCGTTGCGATGACCTACGGGCTTTCTCGGGCATCCGACATCGTTTACTAGCGCGAAATTCCGTTTTTGGAGAACTTTGTCGTTTTCCCCATTTGAATTCCGTTGTCAATCCCGGGATTTTCTAGGACGATTTAGGGCTTAGGGGCCGTGGGAAAACGAAGACAGCCAGATGAATAAGACGACGGAAAGCAAACGCCCACGACAATTGAAACGTCAAAAAGACAAAAAGAAGGGATGCAACACGAGGACTTCCCAGGAGGTCACCCATCCTAGTACTACTCTCGCCCAAACTCGCTTAACTTCGGAGTTCTGATGGGATCCGGTGCATGTGAGTTGGTATGATCGCATCCGTTAGCTTATAACGCCTGAAAGTATATAAGCCACGTTTGAGCCGTGCCGTATGATGCCCTACCTAGCGATAATGGAACCCAAAAGAAAAAAGAAAAAAAATCCCAATAATTTCGGCAGTGCGTCGGTCCCGCTGCGTTTTCGTTTTCGTTCCTTTCCGGTGCCCAGTTAATTGGAGGCGAGCTCCTCGGGGTGGCGTAGGACAGAAGGCGGAAGCAATTCAAGAGGAGCGCGTGCAACGGCAAATCGGGCGAATCGCATATCTGGGGTCCGGCCTCAGAATTAGGCCCATGAACAGTCGATTTGAAGAGAACGGCGCCACGAGTAAAACTCATTGCGTTGCGATGACCTACGGGCTTTCTCGGGCATCCGACATCGTTTACTAGCGCGAAATTCCGTTTTTGGAGAACTTTGTCGTTTTCCCCATTTGAATTCCGTTGTCAATCCCGGGATTTTCTAGGACGATTTAGGGCTTAGGGGCCGTGGGAAAACGAAGACAGCCAGATGAATAAGACGACGGAAAGCAAACGCCCACGACAATTGAAACGTCAAAAAGACAAAAAGAAGGGATGCAACACGAGGACTTCCCAGGAGGTCACCCATCCTAGTACTACTCTCGCCCAAACTCGCTTAACTTCGGAGTTCTGATGGGATCCGGTGCATGTGAGTTGGTATGATCGCATCCGTTAGCTTATAACGCCTGAAAGTATATAAGCCACGTTTGAGCCGTGCCGTATGATGCCCTACCTAGCGATAATGGAACCCAAAAGAAAAAAGAAAAAAAAATCCCAATAATTTCGGCAGTGCGTCGGTCCCGCTGCGTTTTCGTTTTCGTTCCTTTCCGGTGCCCAGTTAATTGGAGGCGAGCTCCTCGGGGTGGCGTAGGACAGAAGGCGGAAGCAATTCAAGAGGAGCGCGTGCAACGGCAAATCGGGCGAATCGCATATCTGGGGTCCGGCCTCAGAATTAGGCCCATGAACAGTCGATTTGAAGAGAACGGCGCCACGAGTAAAACTCATTGCGTTGCGATGACCTACGGGCTTTCTCGGGCATCCGACATCGTTTACTAGCGCGAAATTCCGTTTTTGGAGAACTTTGTCGTTTTCCCCATTTGAATTCCGTTGTCAATCCCGGGATTTTCTAGGACGATTTAGGGCTTAGGGGCCGTGGGAAAACGAAGACAGCCAGATGAATAAGACGACGGAAAGCAAACGCCCACGACAATTGAAACGTCAA